GCAAAAGCCAGGTGATTACTCATCTCTTTTAGTTCTCTTCAGATGAAATGCACTTTCTGGAACAAAGGAAACACTCAGCAAATGTCTCTGAATAAATATATACAAACTTGAAATAAGTAGCAAGACTTCATTCCTTTTCTTACTCATGGGAGGAGTATCTAGTTTAGGATGTCCTGAAATTGTAAATGCTCCAGATTTCTGAAAATTTAAGATCTAGAAGCAAGGAAGAATTTGCTGTTTAAAGCTGTCAGCAATTTTCTGATTTATTGGGAGGAGAGGTAACAAAATACATTAGTTGTGTATAGAAATTCTTTTTTTTTTTTTTTTTGAGACAGAGCCTCAAGCTGTCCCCCTGGGTAGAGTGCCATGTCTTCACTGCTCACAGCAATCTCCAACTCCTGGGCTCAAGTGAGTCTCCTACCTCAGCCTCCCAAGTAGCTGGGACCACAGGCACCCGCCACAATGCGTGGCTATTTTTTGGTTGCAGCCATTATTGTTGTTTGGCGGGCCCGGGCTGGATTCAAACCCACCACCTTAGGTGTATGTGGCTGGCGCCTTAACCGCTTGAGCCACAGGCACCGAGCCTGTGTATAGGAATTCTGAAGTCAAACATCTAGATTCAAAAGTTCGCTCCAGCACTTTCCAGAGGTGAAGGCTTGGACAAGTTTCTTAACATGCCTAAACTTATTTTTGCAACTGTAAAATGTGTTAGTATTCCTAGGGATGTTGTAAGAGTTTAAATCAGATGGTAGGTTTCTTCCTTTTTTCCTTCCTTCCTTTCCTTCTTTCTTTCTTCCTTTTTTTCCTTTTTTTTTTGTTAAGAGACAATATCACAGGCGGAGCCTGTGGCTCAGTGAGTAGGGTGCCAGCCCCATATACTGATGGTGGTGGGTTTGAACCTGGCCCCAGCCAAACCGCAACAAAAAATAGCCTGGTGTTGTGGCGGGCGCCTGTAGTCCCAGCTACTCAGGAGGCTGAGGCAAGAGAATCGCTAAGACCAAGAGCTGGAGGTTGCTGTGAGCTGTGATGCAGCAGCACTCTACTGAGGGCAAGAAAGTGAAACTGTCTCTAAAAATAAATAAATAGGGTGAGGCCTGTGGCTCAAAGGAGTAGGGTGCGGGCCCCATATATCAGAGGTGGCTGAATCAAACCCGGCCCCGACCAAAAACGGCAATAAAATAAAATAAAATAAAACTAAATAAATAAAGAGACAATAACACGGCTGGATGCCCATAGCTTAGTGGATAAGGCGCCAGCCACATATACTGGGACTGACGGGTTCGAACTCAGCCTGGGCCTGCTTAAACAACAATGACAACTACAAAAAAAAAAGCCTGCACTTCGTCTCAGCTACTTGGGAGGCTGAGGCAAGAGAATTGCTTAAGCCCAGGAATTGGATGGTTGCTTTGTGCTGTGACACTATGGAATTTTACCAAGGGCAACACAGTGAAACTCTGTCTCAAAAAAAAAAAAAAGATAATATCACTCTTTTGCCCAGGCTAGAGTGCAATGGTGTCATCATAGCTCTTTGCAGCTTTGAACTCTTAGGCTCAAGCAATACTCCTGCCTCAGCCTCCCAAGCTAGGATTATAGATGCACCACCACTATATATACACACACACCCCTGGCTAATTTTTCTATTTCTTTTTATTTGTTTGTTTTGAGACACAGTCTCACTATATCACCCTCAGTAGAGTGGTGTGGTGTCACAGCTCACAGCAACCTCAAACTCTTGGCTCAGCCTCCCAAGTAGCTGGGACTACTGGCACCCGCCACAAGGCCCAGCTATTTTTTCATTGCAGTTGTCATTGTTGTTTAGCTGGCCCACACTGAGTTCGAACCCGCCAGCCTCTGTGTATGTGACTGGCGCTCCACCCACTGAATTATAGGTGCTGTGGCAGGTGCCTGTAATCCCAGCTACTTGGAAGGCAGAGGCAGGAGAATTGAGCCCAGGAGTTGGAGGTTGCTGTGAGCTGTGATGCCATAGCACTCTACCCAGGGTGACAGCATGAGGCTGTCTCAAAAAAAAAAAAAAATTCAGCTTTTATAGCATCAAGTCCTATGTTAGCTGTGGGCTTGTCAAACATTATTATGTTGAAGTATATTCCTTCTACACCTAATCTGTTTAGAGTTTTTATCATGAAAGGATGTTGAATTTTGTCAGGTATTTTCTTTGCATTAGATGATCATAAAATTTTTCATCTTTCTTTCTATTCAAGTGAAGTATTACATTTATTCATTTATATATATTGAACCATGCTTGCTTTCCAGGGATAAATCCCACTTTATTATGATATGTGATCTTTTTTTTTGAGACAGAGTCTCACTATGTCACCTCTTGGTAGAGTGCTGTGGCATCACAGCTCACAGCAACCTCCAGCTCTTAGGCTTAAGCAATTCTCTTGCCTCAGCCTCACAAGCTGGGACTACAGGCACCTGCTACAATGCCCGTCTATTTTTTTATTGCAGTTGTCATTATTGTTTAGTAGGCCAGGGCGGAGTTCAAACCCGCCATCCTCTGTATATATGGCTGGTGCCCTAATCACTGGGCTATGGGTACCAAGCCAGTGTGTGATCTTCTTAACATGCGGCTGAATTTGGTTTACTAGTATTTTTGTAGAGGATTTTTATATCTATGTTCATCAGGAATATTGGCCTTTAATTGTCTTTACTTGTAGTGTTCTTATCAGGTAATGCTGGACTTATAAAATTAGTTTGGAAGTGTTCCCTCTTCAATTTTTTGGAAGAGCTTGAGCATGATAAGTATTAATTCTTTAAATGCTTGATGGAATTCAGAAAAGAAAATCCAAAAATAAGATGCAAAATCTGCTCCAGATGAGAAGGAATCAGTGAAAGATCTCTGTATATATGAAAAACCAGAGTGAAAGGACACCCCCAAAAGAAAACAATAACATCATGCCAATGGAAACCGACCAAAATGGGAATATTGAAATGACTGATAAAGTATTTTGAATATGGATTGTAAGGAAGCACTATGAAAAAACCAAGTGCCTATCAATATATGAGTAGATTAATGCAATGTGGTATATGTATACAATGGAATAACTACTCAGCCATAAAAAATGGTAAACTAATACTTTTTGCAACAAGCTGGATAGAACTGGAGACCAACTTTTTTTTTTTTCTGAGACAGAGTCTCATTATGTCATCCTTGGTAGAGTGCCGTGGCTTACAGCAACCTCAAACTTTTGGGCTTAAGCAATTCTCTTGCTTCAGCCTCCCAAGTAGCTGGGACTACAGGCACCCGCCACAATGCCTGGCTATTTTATGGTTGTAGTTGTTGTTTAGCAGGCCTAGGCCAGGCTTGAACCTGCCAGCTTCAGTATATATGCCTGGTGCCCTACTCACTAAGCTATGGGAGCCGAGCCTGGAGACCAATCTTTTAAATGAAGTTTTGCAAGAATGAAAAAACAAACACCACATGTGCTCACTATTAAATTGAAAATAGTTGATCAATACCGAGGTGCACATTTGGTAGTAAAACTCAATGGAAAGCAAGCAGGTGGGAGGATAGAGGGGAGGGGTACCTTCACATTAATGGGATAATACACACTACCAGGTAATAGGCATACTTATAACTTTGACTCAAACTATGCAAAAGCAATTCATGTAACCAAAATATCTGTGCCCCCATAATATTCTGAAATTTTTAAAAAATTTAAAAATTAAACAAAAATGCTTGGTGCGTCCAGGCAATGTGGCTCACACCTGTAATCCTAGCACTCTGGGAACCTGGGGTGGATGGATTATCTGAGCTCATGAGTTCAAGACCAGCCTGAGCAAGAGTGAGACCCCTCTCTCTACTAAAAATAGAAAAATTAGGCTGGGCACCTGTATCTCAATGGTTAGGGCACCAGACACATGCACCAGGGCTGGTGGATTTGAACCCAGCCTGGGCCTGCTAAACAAAACAAAGCAAAGAAATAGCCAGGTGTTCTGGTGGGTGCCTATAGTCCCATCTACTTGAGAGGCTGAGGCAAGAGAATCGCTTGAGCCCAAGAGTTTGAGATTGCTGTGAGCTGTGACGCCATAGCACTCCTCTACTGAGGGTGACAAAGTAAGACTCTGTTTCCAAAAAAACCCCCCAAAACAAAAAACACTATGAAATTAAAAGTTTTCTTCTAAAAGTCACACCTTTAATTAATGGTGGCTTAATACCAAAAAGGGAAGGAAACTTTTAAATAATATTGTGATCAGAAAATTACTGCATCTGGGAGAAGCAAGGACTAATGATGCTATTATGGACTATTAAAATATTACATTATCCAGCAAACAAAAATACAGACTCAAAAATGGTGAGAAAAGTAGAAAATGGGGTGGGGGGATGTTGTGCTCTGCTGTGCACTCTAAGTGAAGAAGGAAAAAGAAAATGAACAGAAGAGCTAGGCTGGCTTCGGCATGGGAGCTAGGCCTTGAACCAAAGTACCAAAGATAGGAAAAGTTGGTCCGTGTCTTGTGAACTGCCATTGATTTGATCAGCAACACAAGTGGATGGGTTTCTGGAATACGGCCAGCCTATTGCTTTCTAGTGATGGCTACAACAGAACTTGATGTTTTTCAAACTGTAGGTTATGAGCTATTAGTTACTCATGAAAAGATCAGAGTACATAGTGAGGATTAAATTTTGAGAAACCTTCTTTTGGGTACCTATGTGTATAAAGGTGAAAACATTTTTCTTACTATGGTTCAAAGCCACAGGCGTAAAGAGCTGGGAAGACAAGGGCTCTCCCAGTCTCTAATTGCACCAAAAACCTCGTATTAATCAATATAGAGCTAAAAAGAAAAAAGAACTACACATCTCAGTATCTACCAACAACAGTACCACAGAGAAACTCACTGTTAATTAACATATGTAATGTAAATATGATATTGACAGTATAAAAATTAAAGGCATATGAACAACTCAGGAAAAATTAAAGGGCATACCAGCAAGTAGAATACAGATTATTTCCTAAAAAGATAAATTTTAATATACAGAATAAAATCTACAAAGACTTTATTATTTTTCACTTTCCCAAAAATTTGTGGCATGGATGCTTCTGAATCTGACCAGTGAGGTTTATATTTTGGTCCAATACATTATTAGACTACTTGTGTGATCAAGTCCGGCTTGATTACGATAAATCACAGAAGTCATCAGAATTTACTTTAAAAATCTGTTGCTTTTAAAGATAATTCAATTTTTTCTTAGCTAAGAGCTTACTCAACTTTAGCTTCAAAATCAGATGCAAAATAAGATATCTTCTTTAAATAGCTGGTCATCATTTTAGGCTCAATCTAGGCAAATTATTTGATATTTTATCGAAGATCATACAAAAACTCTACAATAAATAATGAAAAGAGTACACAAAATTTTAGCCTCTATTCGCAATACAGAAAATACATGTCAGTTCTGGACCAAATAATTCCACTGAAATACAAAAAGTGATAGAGTAGAATTAAAAGATCTGTGGGTGACTGCTTTTTTGTGGTCAGCTACAACAAACCAATAACCACTGGTTATTTTGGAAAATGGAAGTGGGTTTTAATTTGCAGATAAAGAATGTCTTCAGTAGTTTAAAAAAATATAAACTCTAAAAAAGCTTGTGAATCATATACAAAAGCAGCTATTTGAGCCCAAGGTTGAAACCCAGAAATTGTGTTAGCACCACCAGCAAGCACAGGGTCCTCTATCCTTGGACTCTTCAGCCCTCCGAGCTTGTGCAGAATGCAGACTTGAATGTTCTATATGTCATTTACAATTGTAAAAATGGCCTTGAGTATACAGAATTCCTGTAGGATAGTCTTAAGCCCTAGGAGGCACCAAGTGGTTACAAAGGCTAGGTAACAAACCGGATCACAAGTTCCGACGATATAATAAATCTCGTGTTGCCTTATCAACTTTTTGCTGGTAGTCCTCCAATTTGTCAAGTATTTTCTGGGATAGCTGTAAGAGAAGAAGGGAATTATTACAGAATAGCTGAAACATTGAAAAAAACTGAATTAACTACTCACTTTGACTTCACCGGTTAGGCTCTACCTAATACAGATATCAGCCATTCTGCTTCATTTCATCACCTTTCAGTTTAGAAGTCTGCTCTGTGACTTCACTGATAAAGATGGACTTTTCTGTCACAGTATATATAATCCTTCAATCTTGTTCTGATGAATTTTCTAAATATGCAAATCATATCAGTATTTTTTTTTTTGGTGGGGGGGAGGACAGAGTCTCAATCTGTCACCCTGGGTAGAATGCTGTGGTGTCATAGTTCACAGCAACCTCAAACTCTTGGGCTTAAGACATTCTCTTACCTCAGCCTCCCAAGTAGCTGAGACTACAGGCGCCCGCCACCACACCCGGCTGTTTTTCTGTTGCAGTAGTCATTGTTGGTTAGCTGGCCAGGCCAGTTTCAGTGTATGTGGCTGGCCCCCTGCTGACTGGGCTATGGGCACCACCCATATCAGTATTTCAAATAAGCATATCACTGGCTCTTTTTTATGAAGCAGAGATATTATACCTGATTTAATTAGTCATTAGATGCCAAGTGAAATACAGAACTAATATTTAACTAGCCAGCCCCAGTATATGTGGCTGGCTGGCGCCCCAGCCGCTGAGCTATAGGTGCCCAACCAGGATAATGATACTTTTTTACACTGCATTTCAAATACCTATTTACCCAGTAAAATTTGCCATACCAAACTGTAAATGTCTTTATTTTTCTTAGACAAGGTCTCACTCTGTAGTGCAGTGACCCAATCATAGCTCACTGTAAGCCCCAATTTCTGGGTTCCAGTGATCCTCTCACCTCAGCCTCCCAAGTCACTAGGATTCCAGGCCTATGCCACTATGCCTGGTTAATTTTTTTTTCCTTATTTTTCTGTAGAGATGGTGTCTATGTTGCCCAGGATGGTCTTGAACTCGGCTTCAAATGATCCTCCCTCCTGCCCTGGGATTATAGGTGTGAGCCACCAACTCTGGCCTGTAATGGACTGCATGCCATTTGCCTCTGTATAGTTAATGTCTACACAGTTCCTCATTAAGTTTTTTGACCAAGTTGCTTAGATCTTTTGCCTTATTTATAAAGAGACTAAGGCAGCTAGCTTCTTAAGGGCAATAATAAACTTTGCCCTCTCTTTAATCCTTGAGAACTAAAGATCAAGCTGTGAGGTATAATTGCTAGCGCATGGGGTTACAGAAGATGTCTCATGAAAGGGTTTACGTACTGCAATGTTGTGACTGTTAGCACTGTTCTCTCCCAGAGCTTGGAGAAGCTGATCAATGGAGGAGTATGGAAGCCACACCATTGGGGCTGTTGCAGACAGAGGAAACTGAAAGGAAAATGTCAAGTATATATAAAAAAAAAATTTGAAAAAGGTCTCATTTCTTCTGGGACGTTGCTTTCATAGGACATAAACATAAAATGCTTATTTTTTTCACAATAAGAAAAAAATGTCTGTGTATACATACATATCTATGGGAACTTTGATAATTTACTTAATCTCTAAGTATCTGTTTCCTCATAAGTTTAAAAAGAAAAAACAATAGTCCTGGATAAGAATACTATAAGGGTGAAATGAGAAATTCTTTGTAGAGAATTAGCATAGTCATAGCACACACAAAATACCATTTTGTTTTTATTCACAGCATACACAAATACACCTCCCTTCCTCCAGTGAAAACAAATGCACATTCTTTTGATGAAGAAAAATGAAATTCTCATTTTTATAAGCAGAAAATTAAAGAGATTTCTAAAGTATCAATATTTAGTTGTATAACTACAAATAGTAAACGTTAAACACATTAATATAATTCAATGTATGGATTTCCAGATTCTCACCTTACTTAGTGTGATAATACAGAATTAAAAAGAAATGATGAGGTTATGTTCTGATAAGCCCAACATCAGTTGAAAATATCGTAAGTTGGGCAGCGTTCAAACCCGCCCAGTCAAACTGCAACAGAAAATAGCCGGGCGTTATGGCGGGTGCCTGTAGTCCCAGCTACTCAGGAAGCTGAGGCAAGAGAATTGCCTAAGCCCAAGAGCTGGAAGTTGCTGTGAGCTGTGACGCCACAGCACTCTACCAAGGGTGACAAAAAGAAACTGTCTCAAAAAAAAAAGAAAAGAAAGAAAATATCATAAATTGAAAATGTGTTTACTTATTTATTTTTGGACACAGAATCTTATTTTGTTGCCCTTGAGAGAGTGTTGTGGCGTCACAGCTCATAGCAACCTCAAACTCTTGGATTCAAGTGATCCTCCTGTTTCAGCCTCTCAAGTATCTGGGGCTATAGGTGCCCACCACAATGCCTGGCTATTTTTAGAGATGGGGTCTTGCTCTGGCTCAGGCTGGTCTCAAACCCATGAGCACAAGCAATCCACCTGCCTCAGCCTCCCCGAGTGCTAGGATTAACGGGAGTGAGCCACCAAGCCTGGCCATTAAAAATTCATTTAACGCACTTAACTTATTGAACATCACAGCTTAGCCTAGCCTAACTTAAATGTGCCCAGAACACTTCTTAGCCTACAGTTGAGCAAAACCATTTAACAGCCAGTTTTATAATACAATGTAATCTATTGAATACTACACTGAAAGTGAACAGAATGGTTTTCTTTTCTTTCTTTTTTTTTTTTTGAGACAGGAGCCTCAAGCTGTCCCCCTGGGTGGAGTGCCGTGGCATCTCAGCTCACAGCAGCCTCCAACTCCTGGCCTCAAGTGAGTCTCCTGCCTCAGCCTCCCAAGTAGCTGGGACCACAGGCGCCCGCCACAACGCCCGGCTATTTTTTGGTTGCAGCCGTCATTGTTGTTTGGCGGGTCCAGGCTGGATTCGAACCCGCCACCTTGGGTGTACGTGGCTGGTGCTTTAGCCACTTGAGTCACAGGTGCCGAGCCAAGAGAATGGTTTTATAGGTACTTCCAGTATGGGTTCTACTAAATGCTTATCAGTTCTGAACCACTGTAAAGTAAAAAAATCTGTAAGTCAAATCACTGTATTAATAAATTGAGGGCCATCTATATATGCTTACCTCAATTCCGAAGTACTGATGTCCTTTCCCCAACACAGCATCCACATATTCTGACACCAAATCCACAGCTTCTTCTAAAAGGTCATAGTTCAAATACAGACGAAGCAGCTCAGCAGCATCAACTTTCTATAAAAAGTCAATGATTAAGAATATATACTGGCTCAGCACCTGTGGCTCAAGTGGCTAAGGCGCCAGCCCCATACACCTAAGGTGGTGGGTTTGAATCCAGCCCGGGCCTGCCAAACAATGATGGCTATAACCAAAAAATAGCCGGGCGTGGTGGCGGGTGCCTGTGGTCCCAGCTACTTGGGAGGCTGAGGCAGGAGACTCACTTGAGGCCAGGAGTTGGATGCCACAGCACTCTACCCAGGGAGACAGCTTGGATGCCACTCAACTCACTTGATGCCACAGCACTCTACCCAGGGAGACAGCTTGAGGCTTTGTCTCCAAAAAAAAGAATATATACTTCTTCCTTACCTGGGTATTGGCCAAATGAAATGATGTTGACTGTCTGATTCCCTGCATTTACATTTCTCCATATAAATAAACGAGTGTCTTGGTTTACTCATCCGGATCTTAGGATAAGAGTTAAATCTCCAATAGCCTAGTTGCCTCTAAGCACATCTGTTATATGCTGTACCTTCCTGTTTTATAATCTAATAAGATACATTGTAGTTTCTCTCTACTGCACCATCCCAACTGTAAGGTCAACAAACTTTTTCCAGAAATGCTGAGTTCTCTGGGAACAGTATATTCACACTAATTCTCAGAAATACATGAATGATAGATGCAAAAGGATTTCAAAGAATCACCAATTTTAACTTTGAATATAGCCTCAGTTTGGAAGAGTTCTAGTCATTATGTTAAAATGCTTTCTATATTCTGATCTGATTACAATCTTACCTTTATCACCTTAGCTGACGTCCCTACTTCCTAACTTAAAAAAAAAAAAAATTGACTTTCCTAAAAATTTTTTTTTGAGACAGAGTCTCATTATGTTGCCCTCAGTAGAGTGCCATAGCATCATTGCTCATAGCAACATCAAACTCTTGGGCTTAAGTGATTCTCTTGTCTCAGCCTCCCAAGTAGCTGAGACTACAGGTGCCTGCCACAATGCCCAGCTATTTTGTTGTTGCTGTCTTTGTTGTTTGGCAGGCCCAGGCTGGGTTGGAACCTGCCAGCCTTGGTGTATATGGCCAGTGCCCTAACCGCTGAGCAACAGGTGCATAGCAGATATGTTCTTACAAGTTATCATTACTCCTCCTTTTCTTTTTAATCACCTCTTAATCAGAATGAAAGAGTGGGTTCTTTTCATTTTTTTTAGACAGAGTCTCACTATGTCGCTCTCGATAGAGTGCAATGGCGTCTTAGCTCATAGCAACCTCAAACTCTTGGGCTCAAGCAATTCTCTTGCCTTAGCTTCCCAAGTAGTTGGGACTACAGGTGCCCGCCACAGCACTGCCAGCTATTTTTTTTTTGGGGGGGGGTTGTAGTTGTCATTGTTGTTTGGCATGCCCGGGCTAGAATCGAACCTGCCAGCTCCAGCGTATGTGGCTGGGGCCCTAGCCGCTGAGCTATAGGCACCAAGCCAACAAACCAATATATTCTTATATATTCACTTCTCGCCGAGCTGAAAGAGTGGGTTCTTATTCTTTGTAAAATCCACTTACCTTGTAATTGTTTATAAGCCAATTAGGCAGAGGCACTCCATGAGACAAGAGCTTGTTGATTACGCAGTGGTGATACAAGTTATTCTGAACTTTGTATCTTTCCAGGTAAGTTGATAATAGTCGCCATGCTTCATCTGTAGCACTTGAAAAAAGCAAAAAGGACTAATGAGTTTCAGATTATTAACAGACAGAGTACCATTCAAAGCATGTATTTACAAGAAAAATATTTAGAATGCATATTGACCAAGGGGTTGAAAAAAAAAAAAGCTAAATGGTAACTAATATTATTAGGATCAATGCGACCTGGGGAATAGTACTAAAAAACTAGATGACTTAGATTCTTCAATTCTTTCCCACTAACCACATGTTTAGATGACTTAGAGTCTTCAATTTTCTCCCACTAATCACATATTTCTTTGACTATACAATTAACTTACCTTGTTTTTAGGGTTATTTTGGTTTGTTGCTTTTTCTCTAATTTTTAAATTTTTTTTTTGAGACACAGTCTTATTATGTCACCCTCGGTAGAGTGCTATGGCATCTCACCTCACAGCAACCTCAAACTTTTGGGCTTAAGTGATTCTCTTGCCTCAGTCTCCTAAGTAACTGGGACTACAGGTGCCTGCCACAATGCCCAGCTAGTTTTTTGTTGCAGTTGTTGTTTGGCAGGCCCAGGCCGGGTTTGAACCCGCCAGCCCTGGTATACGTGGCAGGTGCCCTGGCTGCTGAGCTACAAGCGTTAAGTCTCTAATTTTTAAATTTTTTATAGAGATGGGGGTTTTTCTACCCAGGCTAGTCTTGAACTCCTGACGTCAAGCAATCTTCCTGCCTCAGCCTTCCAAAGTACTGAGTTACAGGCATGAGCCACTGTTCCTGGCTTGTTTCTAGATTTCTCTTTTTTTTTTTTTTCTGAGACACAGTCTCAAGCTGTCCCCCTTGGTAGGGTGCTGTGGCATCACAGCTCACAACAACTTGGAACTCTTGGGCTCAAGCAAGCCTCTTGCCTCACATTTTCTATTTTTGGTAGAGACAGGGTCTCAAACTTGTGAGCTCAAGCAATCCACTTGCCTCAGCCTCCCAGAGTGTTAGGATTAGTTAGCCACCACACCCCAGACCTGTTTCTAGATTTCTAAAACAAGGAAACTGGCTCACATCACAGGTTCCTAAAACAAAAAGAAAAAAAAAAGAACATGTGATGTGCTATAATCTGAATTTTTTTTTTTTTTTTTGGAGACAGAGTTGTACTATGTCGCCCTCAGTAGAGTACAGTGGTGTCATAGCTCACAGCAACCTCAAACTCTTGGGCTTAAATGATTCTCTGGCCTCAGCCTCCCCATTAGCTGGGACTACAGTAACCCGTCACAATGCCTGGCTGTTTTGTTTTGTTTTATTTTATTTATTTATTTTGAGACAGAGCCTCAAGCTGTCACCCTGGGTAGAGTACGGTGGCATCACGGCTGACAGCAACCTCCAACTCCTGGGCTCAAGGGATTCTCCTGCCTCTGCCTCCCAAGTAGCTAGCTGGGACTACAGGCACCCACCACAATGCCTGGCTATTTTTTGCTTGCAGCCGGCATCGTTTGGCCGGCCCGGGCTGGATTTGAACCCACCAGCTCAGGTGTAAGTGGCTGGTGCCTTAGCTGCTTAAGTCTTTTTTTTGTTGTTGTTGGAGACACTCTGGCTCAGGCTGGTCTTGAACTCCTGAGCTAAAGCAATCCATCTGCCTCGGCCTCCCAGAGTGCTAGGATTACCCGGCCTATAATCTGCATTTTAATAAATGATTCTGATGTATTAATGTAGCGGGTGAAAACTAATGTCAGAGAATATCCAAACTCTAAAATACTACCACTGTAAACTGATAAGATGCGTGGCACAAATTGCAAATGCAGTTTAGGAAGGTAAGCTTACCGAGAGGGATATTAGAGAAGGATTGTGATGAAGCCCTGAAGCACACCCAGTAGACACCAAGTGGGTACACTAGGTGAGTATACAGAGAGAGGAGATCTGAAGAAACTACAGTGGACAATACGGATTGGTAGGTGACAACTGCTAAATAGAGGCTGGAGATAAGCTGTTAAGAGAACACTATGATGACAACCATGTGGTGACAACTCAGTGGAAGAAAGGGGGAACAAAGGAACATCACACTCTGAAGCCAAGTAAATACAGACTTTTACCTATAAAAGTACATTTCCTTTTTTTGAGACAGAGCCTCACTTTATCGCCCTCAGTGGAGTGCAGTGGCATCACACAGCTCACAGCAACCTCCAACTCCTGGGCTTAGGTGATTCTCTTGCCTCAGCCTCCTGAGTAGCTGGGACTACAGGCACCTGCCACAATGCCCAGCTGTTTTTTCTGTTGTTGTTGTTGCAGTTTGGCCGGGGCCAGGTTTGAACCCACCACCTTCGGTATATGCGGCCGGCACCCTACTCACTGAGCCACAGGCGCCGCCCAAAAGTACATTTTCTTTTTCTTTTTTTACAGTTTTTTGGCCAGGGCTTGGTTTGAACTTGCCACCCTCAGCATATGGGGCTGGTGCCCTACTCCTTGAGCCACAGGTGCTGCCCTAGTACATTTTCTTAATTATGTAATACATTAAGTCTTTGAGGACAGGGATATGGAGAGGGAGACTTTGCACGGGCAAAGACATCCCGGTTTGGATAATAATGGGAATGATGTCACCTTAATTATAAATTCTACAGCTTTTATAAAAACTCAGCCAAAAAAGAAAGAAAAAAAGTGAAATGTATCTGTGTAGGACAATTTAATCAAAGAAAGAGAGCTACAGTGTTGAGACAGGTAAAATCACCCAGGGGCGAATGAACATCAGGGCTGTACCTAGACTCCTTAGTAGTAATGACAGATGAGAGCTGATTGGCTGCTAGCCAGGCCCAGGCTTCTGCTTGTGCTGCCTCTCCTCCAAACTGCAGTTTGATGCACCTGCAATGAAAAGGGTTCCACACTTATAAACTAAATGATGAAAAGTGCCACTTTATCTTGCTACTAAAATTAGACAGATAAGATGACAACTTTAGGTCTATCGCTGAATTCTACCACTGGAGTATTGGTTCTTCCTTCTCCTCAAAGCCACACAACTGATGACCCACAAGGACATCAGTAAATGTTGAGAGACTTCCAATTCACAAATTCCCCTCCTCCCCTCTCTCTTTTCTATGGCAGCGTCTTGCTCTTTAGCCTGGGAATGAGAGCAGTGGCATCGTCATAGCTCACTACAATCTCAAACTCCTGGGCCCATGCAATCCTCTTCAGAGTAGCTGGGTCTATGAGTATATGTCACGGTTCACTATCTTGCTCAGGGTAGTCCCAAACTCCTGAACTCAAGCAGTCCTCTCACCTCACCTTCTCAAAGTGCTAGGATTACAGATGTGAGCCATTGCACCTAGCTTCTAATTCATACATTTCTTGACTGATAGTTAGGTATAAAGCAATTTCAATAAGAAATCTTTTTAATGACACTTACAGATGCCAAGTGATGTCTTAAAGGATTTACTTAAAGAGAGCATATGCCTTGCCAGAAATGGACACCATTAACTCTGGTTATCTACTCTTCTAATTTCTCAAGAGAAGCTATAAATCAAGATCTTTTCTTCTTGATCACAAACCACTAAAATTCTTTTTTTTTTTTGGCTGGGGCTGCATTTGAATGCACCACCTCCAGCATATGGGGCTGGAGCTCTACCCCTATAAGCCACACGCCTCCCCAAAATTCTTTAAAAAAAAAATCCTTGATAGGCTTGGCACCTGTGGCTCAAGCAGCTAAGGCAGCAGCCACATACACCAGAACTGGCGGGTTCGAATCCAGCCTGGGCCCGCCAAACAACAATGATGGCTGCAACCAAAACCTTAGTCTCATGCTAAGGCAGGAGACTCGCTTGAGCCCAGGAGTTGGAGGTTGCCGTGAGCTGTGATGCCACAGCACTCTACCCAGGGCAACAGTTGAGACTCTGTCTCAAAAAAAATCAAATCCCTGATAGCCAGGAGTTGTGGTGGGTGCCTGTAGTTCCAGCCACTTGGGAGGCTGAGATAAGAGAATTGCTTAAGGATCGGCGCCTGTAGCTCAGTGAGTAGGGCGCCAGCCACATACACTGAAGGTGGTGGATTTGAGCCCAGTCCGGGGCTTGCTAAACAACAATGACTACTGTAATCAAAAGAAAAAAAAAATGGCTGGGTGTTGTGGTGGGCACCTATGGTCCCAGCTACTCGGGAGGCTGAGACAAGAGAATCACTTGAGCCCAAGAGTTTGAGGTTGCTGTGAGCTGTGACACCACTGCACTCTAACAAAGGCGATTCTGTCTAAAAAAAAAGAGAATAGCTTAAATCCAAGAGTTTGAGGTTTCTGAGAGCTGTGAGGCCGTGGCACTCTACCCAGGGTGACAACTTGAGACTATCTCAAAGAAAAAAAAAAAATCCTTGCATGGGGCGGCGCCCATAGCCTAGTGGGTAAGGGTGCTGGCCACATACACCGAGGCTGGCAGGTTCGAACCCAGCCCAGGCCAGCTAAAATAACAAAAACAACTGCAACAACACCAACAAAAAAAATAGCTAGGCATTGTGGCAGGTGCCTGTAGTCCCAGCTACTTGGAAGGCTGGGGCAAGAGAATCGCTTAAGCCCAAAAGTTTGAGGTTGCTATGAGCTGTGATGCCATGGCATTCTACCTAGGGTGACTGAGACTCTGTCTTGAAATAAATAAATAAACAAAAATCCTTGCATGGGCTCGGCACTTGTAGCACAGTGGTTAAGGTGCCAGCCACATACACTAGGGTAGCAGGTTTGAACTCAGCCCAGGCCAGCTAAACAACAATGACAACTGCAACAAAAAATAGTTGGGCATTGTGGCAGGTGCCTGTAGTCCCAGGTACTTGGGAGGCTGAGGCAAGAGAATTGCTTAAGCCCAAGAGTTGGAGGTTGCTGTGAACTGTGACCCACAGCATCCTACTGAGGGCAACATAGTGAGACTATCTCAAAAAAAAAAAAAAAAAAAAGGTTCCTTGCATGAATTAAACAAAATACTTCCTTAAACCACAAATGGCTTATAGGCTACCTGGCTTGTGACTACTGATTCACACTAAGCGATAGGATAATATGTTTGCATTACAAAACTAAGACTATAAAATTACAATTTTATACATACTTAAAGGCAAGTCCCTCGAAGACTGGTGTTAAGGGAAGTTTAAAAGTCTGACACAATGATATGGCAGTGTCAAAGAGGCCAGCCTGAACTAAAAGAGTAACCATCTCCTCTGCCGATGAGCTTCCTGTGGAAATGGACAAGGCTATTTAGTGCATTCAACCATTACAAAATGAGCGCAAAGACTTTGTTGATAAGTATCTCAGAGTAACGACTCTGTGCTTATGCCCGTCTAGCATATTATGTTTGCTGCTGGACCAAAAATGTGCTATTGGCGCTAAGAGACGAAAGGCTCTGACTACTGCATTCCTACCTGCAACTGCAATTGCTGATGAATCATGCTGAGCCAAAGTGAGGCGAATGCGAGCCAGGGAACACTCTTTCTCCAGATCTTCCAGTTCCAGGATTTCAATTTGCCGATTTGCTATAAACCAAAGGAAAGGATTTTTAAATCCCAAAGTATAAAGAAAGTGTCAAATGGATTAACTCAACTTGTCTCTTCCCACTAACCACTAATTAATATTTAATTTAATTTCTGCAGGCATTAAGAAAGGAAAAATTGGGACTCAATAAAACCTAACTGAAGAAATTAAGCAACATCCTGCTTCACATAAAGAACTTAGTCAAGGGCCGCAAAGGAGTAGGGCACCGACCCCATATACAGGAGGTGGTGGGTTCAAACCCAGCCCTGGCCAAAAACTACAAAAAAAGAAAAAGAACTGAGTCAAACCAAAGTACTCCACTAACAATAACTGCAGTACAGGAGGTACTCACAAGGTACTTTACAGGTGATTTCGTTTAATACTAATAATGGCGAAACACTGCCACCTCTATCCATAAGAAAGGAATATGACCAAGGTACAAGAGGCAGAATTAAAACAAAGTGTATCCAAATACTAGAGCCTTGTCTCTTTATGGAAGGATATCATGCCTTCCTGGAAATGTCAAAGGAACCTGATGAAAAGAAGTTTGGGACTGAGCTGATTTTTTTTTTTTTTTTTGTGGCTATAATCCGTTTATTCTGGCACACTTAAACATAATAAAATAACATACAGTATTTGAATAGATATAGAAAAAAATAAAGTTTTATAACGTAGATTCTTTTTATAAAAATAGTTACTTAAATCACTGTCATAACTATCCAATTAGATGTATTTTCTTTATGGGGATCATTAGGTAAAATAAATTTAAAGAGTGTCATGTTAAAGTTTATTAAGAGGGGACTGAGCTGATTTAAATAAAACATGCAACAAAACAAACACACTCTCTCTCTCTCTTTTTTTTTTTTGTAGAGACAGGGTCTCACTTTATCGCCCTTGGTAGAGTGCCATGGCAGCACAGCTCACAGCAACCTCCATCTCCTGGGCTTAGGCGATTCTCTTGCCTCAGCCTCACGAGTAGCTGGGACTACAGGCGCCCGCCACAATGCCTGGCTGTTTGGTTGCAGTTTGGCCATGGCCAGGTTTGAACCCACCACCTTTGGCGCCCTACTCACTGAACTACAGGCGCTGCCCATCTTTTTTTTTTCTTTTTTCTTGAGACCGAGGCTCAAGCTATCACCCTGGGTAGAGTGCCATGGTGTCACAGCTCATAGCAATCTCAAACTCCTGGGCTTAAGCGATTCTCTTCCCTCAGCCTCCCGAGCAGCCGGGAATACAGGCGCCCACCACTACACCCAGCTATTTTTTGGTTGTAGTTGTCATTGTTTGGCAGGCCTGGCGGGATTCAAACCCGCTAGCTCTGGTGTATGTGGTTGGCACCTTAGCCGCTTGAGCTACAGGCACCACCCCACACTCTCTTTTTTAAGCTTTTTCATACATCCATTCATTTTCAAAGAGTTACCAGACAACTTTTAGTAGATTAGAATGTTGAAGGAACTTTACAATATTTTACAATCTATATATAAAATACATGTACAATATATGACACTAGTATATAGTATGTAACTATATAGCCATACACAATGTTAAAATATAACTATTATCTTTATTACATATATAGTTTACCCTTGAACAACATAGAGAGCAGTTGCAACTCTAATATCTGATTTCCAAAGATCCTTAACTTCTATAGAGTAATAGCTGACTATTGACCAGAAGCCTTACCAACAACATGAACAATTAACCAAGTTTAGTATGTAATATGTATCATGTACTGAATTCTTACAATAAAGTAAGCTGGAGGAAATAATAAGGAAGAGAAAACATATTTACTATTCATCACGTAAAAATGGATTACCATAAAGGTCTTCATCCTCCTTGTCTTCATGTTGAGAAGGTGGAGGAGGAAGAGGAGGGGTTGGTCTCACTCCCAGGGGTGGTAGGGGGAAAGAGTGAAGAACACAGGCAGGACAGGTGGGCACACTCAGCATAACTTACAGAAATATGTCATAATTTGTCCGGTATTTTTGTTTTTTCACTTATCTAAAAATGTTCCTATAAGGTTTCAATCCTTCTTCCACCATCTGCTTTAGTTTCAGTGCTTATATCATAGGACGATGCACGTTATAAAATCACTCAGTTGCAGTCTTGAATAACCGGAACCCTTCTGCATGACTGTCTAATGTCAATTTGTTTCCTGGCACTGCTTCTATGACTTCTTCCTCATCATCTGGCACTGGTTCAGAAGCACTCACTTCCATCAAGTCACCTTCTGGTAATTCCTCTGGTGTGGTGTCTAGAAGCTCTTGAATTTCTCTACGATCCTTAACTTCAACCCTTAACCCACAACCTTTTATGCTATATCCATAATCTCTCTCATGATTTCTTCGAATGGCTGTCATTAAATCCTTCCAAGTCATTCTCACATCTGGACACATGAGCTAAACTCACATCAACAAGAGGTAGCTACAAAATTATCATATTACAGTAATATAGTATATACTATTCTTAATTTTATGCAGTTATACCTTAGCATATCTTTACCTTTGTTTTACATTTCTCTTGACTTCAAATGTCACCATGTAGGATGTGTGTGTCTATAGCTTTTTTTTTTTTTTTTTGAGACAGAGC